CGAGGCAGAAGGCAAGGCGGTATAGCACCGTATAGGAGATTTGTAATCGCCGTGATAAACTCCGCGTGGCGGCGTGCCAGGAGCAATATCCAGTTCCAGTAAGACTTGACTCGTGCAGTTGAGTGCGAGGGGAACATATTAGTCATGATGTTTATCTGTTGTCTCGTCCTTGGTTAGACCAGATATGCCTGCCTTGCTTTTCAGCAACGTTTCCAAGCCCTCCCTATCCCTCTCTGCTCACCAGGGGCTCCTTGCCTACCCCCAGCCCCGTATCTTCCCCCTTCCAGGGCTGGAAGCTTTGCTGGATTTTTGGGAGCGATGCTTTATACTTTATAAGATGTTTTCTTTGGAGCCCACCTTGCCTTGGTTTGGGTGGCTCTGGGTACAATCCTGCCCCGTCCCCTCTTTGCAGTTCACCTGGAGGGATTCTGCGGTGGCACCAGGTTCGACTGCAAAGACGTGAAGTTCGTCGTGGGCGAAGGGGAGGACCACGACATCCCCATCGGCATCGACAAAGCCCTGGAGAAGATGCAGAGGGGAGAGCACTGCATCCTCTACCTCGGGCCACGGTAAGGAGCATCCCCGTGGGGATGCCGTCGAGTTTTCCGCTTCCAACATCCAAAGTTGTTTTGGCACTCGTGGAAGACAGCGATCCCGAAAATAGGAGTCTCCAGGAGAGCCTTGGGTTAGCAATGCTGGCAGGGATGGCAAGAGCGAGTGGTGGCATGTAGGCAGAAATCTTGAAGTGCTTTAAAAAAATGGGGTAAAAGGGGTTTATCCGAGTCCTGTGGCTGAAAGGAAAATGTCTCCCTGGAAATCACCAGGGCTGGGCCCTTACACTGGAGAGAAACCTGGATAAAACGATGGATTTGATGCATCCAGAGAGGATGATTCCCAACATATAATGCGTTGTATATCGTCAGCTGTCTTTGCTCGTGGAGAATAACATCACCCTGGCTCCAAAATGTTAGAAAGCTGCGGGGACGGAGCTGGGTGTGACACCCGAATTAACAACCTGGGGCTGCGTTTGTGGCCAAAACGCTGCCGAAATGAAGGTTTTACCCCCTCGCCTTCCTCCGACAGCCTCTTTCCGCCCGTTCAGGTACGGCTTTGGCGAGGCGGGGAAGCCGAAATACGGCATCCAGGCGAACGCGGAGCTGGTGTACGAGGTTACGCTGAAAAGCTTTGAAAAGGTGAGGGTAGGACGGGAACGCCGGTCCCTGCCGGGGTTACGGGAACGCCGATCCCTTCGCGGCGTCCACCCTTCGTCCCTGGCGGGGCCGCGGCTGGGGTGGGTGCGTCACCGAGGACCGCGGTGTTTGTCCTTTGTTCTTCTCTCTTGCTTTGGTTTATTTTTCTGGCTGGGGTCCAAGGCTGGTTC